AGAAAAAAAGTTCATGGTTCATGTGGCCTTCCTGGAAGCCTGAGTAGTCAAATAGTTTCTTTTGCCCAACATCACATTTCTGTTTGGTGACCTGGCAACAAATTATAGTTACTTTCTTTGGCTTATTCGTAGTTTTCAATAAAGCCAAAATTTGAGAAGCATATTTGATATTGTCTAAAGTTAGTAAAACTCTCTCTGTCAATAAGCACAAACTACTGAGAATGCATATCTGGAGTCAGTGTGAGGGGCTGTGGTGATTTGTCAAGAGGCAAATGACTGTAAATATTTACCACTATAAGTTTACCCAATGGTAGTGCTTTTTATTTCTTTCTTTCTTTCTTTCTTTTTTTTTTTTTTTTTTTTTTTTTTTGGTACAGGTCTCACTATGCAGCTCAGACTCATAGTTATCCTTCTGTTTTCAGCCTTCCCTGAGCTGGGATTATAGGCATGTACCACCACACCCAGACTCGGTCCCTGGCTCAGTGAACCCTGTAGGCGGGACTAGCACAGTATTCAGGTCCTGGGATCAAACCCTGATCCCTGCACTTGCCAAAGCAGGTGCTTAGTCCACTGCGCTATCTGACCAGACCTGGTAATGCTCTTATGAAGCAATGAGTTTAAGATTCTGTGCTGATGTGCCAGGCACATACAGAAAACTATGGTTTAGGTTCAAGTCAACTAGTCAGACTCCAAAGTCTACAGGAAAGATAAGGCTAATGCTTGCCCTGACTCTATTACAGTTATATGGTTTTTTGAGTGAAGAGATAGGTATTAAGTTGACGACAGAATAAGCAGCCCTCATAAGAAAGTTACTGACTTGTCACTGAGGATTCTGTAATAATATAATGAGAGGCTATGCTAAATTAAATCTTCTTCTTTCTTTGTAGAAATTTAACTTTTAATTCCACCTTTTGGGTGGCAGCATTCTTTGTCTTTCCAACTCTTCCAGCTTCTTCAGTTTTGGACAAGCTACTCCAATGCCTTTCTTCCTTGCAGAAACTATATTGATTTTTTCCCCTGAAAAGTAATTATTTTTGCTTAATTTCTTTGGGCTCTCATAATATTTTCCATTTTTCCCTCTGGAGTTTTGAGTGTGAGATACTGTGAGCAGGCAATCCTGTTGCTTCATTTTCTTTTGTCCCTTCAAATTCCGTGCTGGATCTGTGTGATTACAGACCTTAAAACCTATTTCTAGTAGGTGTGAAGTAGAGACTCCTAAAGCACAATTCACGTTTTAGGGGAGGTTTATTTTTTTGTTTTGGTGAAGACTGAACCCAGAGCTTTGAGCTTGCTAGGCCAGGTGTTCCACCACTGAACCAAATCCCCAGCCCCACATCATTCACATTTCGAAATCCTTTTTTTTTTAACATTAGGAGCATTGTGGCCAATAAAAATGTATTTATTGATATGTTGCTTGTGCTATTTTAGAGCCCCAGGACTGATAGCAATATAGTGTTGGTGTCCTTAAAACAAATTCCAAAAGTTCCTAGATGCTGTCTTGAGGCTTTCACTGAATCTTCTGTACTTTGTTAATACTCTATAATTTAGGAACCCCTTTTTGGTAACTGATCCAGAAACATCTCCTATAATTTTTTGTATAGGGTAATCCGCCATAATTTACATCCAAAATGGGTTGCAGGTATGTTTGCTAAGTATAAAATTCAAAAAGGACAGATCTTTTCTTTCAGTCCTTTAATTAATCTAGTTTCTTACACACTTGGTCCTTTTGTTTTCTTTCTAATGTGGAATAAGATGCTATTTAATTTTGTTCTTCCATAGCTAATATTTTTACGCATATGCTTTAATGATCATAAGTTGAACTAAATTCAGAAATTTTAAATCTTTAAATATTTATTGCCTACTCCTTTCTACTTTGAGAATTCTAATTATATGAATATACGTTTCTTGGTTTTGACACAGTGAACTATTATGACTGATCTGTAAATTCTTTCATTTTTATTTTGGACAGTTTTTATTGATATATTCATTTATGTTTGTAAATAATTTATTTTCAATTTGCAATCTATTAAAAAATAAAATAAAATGGGTTGCAGTGTGGAGACTGCTCTGACTGCCTCTGAACTAACAGAATTCACTGAATGTGTGAGATGGAATTGTCAGATTTCTCTTGCTTTCGCAAGAACTACTTGAGATTCTCTCGCTATTCATGTAATGTTTGTAGGAGCCTAAACATCAGTCCAAAGAAGTGACAGGGAGCCAAAAATGGAGGCAAATAAATCTTCCATGTGGGAAGGATTTTCTTGATATAAAAGACTATTATTTTTCCAGGTGAATTAGTCAGAACTAGAGAAATGCGAGTACATCCAGATGACTCCAGCTGCCATTACCTCTAGCCCCCTAAGGCAAAAAGGAGAAACAATTTTTGTCCTACCAAAGTGTTAGTGGAACCTTGGCCAAATGGCATATCCTGATAGGTAGGGTAGAGGAAAGTGTTCTAGGCATTTCTTTTTTATGAATGTTTGCCTGTCCTACTTTTGAATGATGTTCTTCCTCCCAGTAGAGTGGCTGTCAGACACCAGTTGAGGAGCTTGTGGTAGCAGATCTATTTGGATTTAGAGCATCGAAAGTTATCTCTCCATCTTTCTCCCATTCCGTATCAGGGAGGAGAGACTTAGGGTTTTGCCTACCATGTTGAGCATGTTCACTTGGGGAAAGTAACATAAAGGCTTTCCACGTGTCTTCTCACTTTCTAAATCATTCGCATTACCAAATAATACATTAGGATTCTGTTCTTTAGCCATTTTCCTCCCATACTGCAGCCAAATATTAAAAAAGAAAATAATTTTCTACCTTTTTGGAGATTCTTGATGGAAAGTAGCCTAAGTTGAAGGACACAGCACCGTGAGCTGCTCTTGTGCTCTCATTTATGTCACAGTGCTACTGAAGTATCACCTTCTGAGAGAACGTACTATAAATTCTAGAAAAATGGGTGGTTTGCATTGCTCACTGAAATGTACCCTGGACTCCAAATGACCTTTGGCATGTAGGAAATAATAAGTACTCATTGAATGAGTTGTCAAGCAGAGTTATGAATGAATCAGCTAATCCAAATGTCCATTCTGCTCATACATTATATGACAGAGTCTTTTAAGAGTATTAATTAGTTGGCAGTTTTTAAAACTGGTGAGAATTTGTATCAAAATTACAACTTTTGGATTCCTTTAAAGAATTGAGGGATTTTCATATTTGGGGGTCTATCAGCAATGCTGTTTATTAGTACCTATTCTTTTCACATCACAGTGGTTCTCATCGACCTCACTGTTCCTGTCATCTTCCTGACATGAGTGGCCTCCTTACGCTTGCCCCCCTTCCTGCTCTGTGCTAACCTGCCTGGCCCTGTAGGCTTTCAGGGCCCAGTTTCACATGTGTGATAAGTCATCCAACATCTGTCTCACATTTCTGTGTAAATTTTCATGTCTGACTTAGAAATGAAATTGATCCTGTGTTCAGTTTTCGAGTCATATCCATAACGAGACACACATTTTAGCTGTTGGTGCCATTCTAGTTATAGAACAGTCAACCCAGCTTGACAAATGAAATTGAGTCTTTATTACTAAAGGACAGAAACACCCAACAGTGTTTCAAAATAGTTTTCACTTTTGGAAGGTTATTTTTTATACTTTTTTTTTAAATTGTGGATTTTAAATACTTTTCTTTATTTTCAAAACCTCATAAACATTTGGTCCAGATGTTTACCTAAAGTGATTCATTTACCAGTGTGGGGTACACCCATTGGGCCTAAGAAAGAAAGCGACCGCATCTAATAATGGATAGTTGCATAGTCTGCTGTCAGAAAGAGAAACATGTGGGGCTGGGGAGATAGCTCAATAGAATAAGTGCTTGCCTGGCAAACACAAGGGCCTGAGTTTAATCCCCAGTTCTGCCAAAAACAGAGAGAGAGAGAGAGACAGAGAGAGAGAGAGAGAGAGGCATATATAATTGCAGGAACTGTCTTTTTGGTCATTATATTACTCGTGTCTGTATATTCTAGAGGCATAAATATTTATCAAGCATCTGCATGGTGTCAGGCAGGGTTCTAGATAGTTGAGGAGCTCACATTCTGTGTTTTACTGTAGGGACTAAGTTAGCAAAAATTAAACAACCAAGTAAATAAAAGTTATGACATATGCAATAAGAGTTGATGAGGGCTGTGGATAAAAAGGAAAGTGGAGTGTGGTAAGGGATATGAGAAAGCCTGGCTGGTCATGGCATTGAACACTAATGGGTTACACTGAAAAGAGATTTGAGGAGGCTCAGCAAAAGATGAGTTACCCAAGTGACTCTGTGGTGAAACAGCCTTCCAGAATAAGAGCTAGGGCAAATGCCTAAAGCAGGGATGTGCCCAGTGTGTTCCAGAAGCAGTGTGGCTACTTTGGCTGATTTATGTTCCATTGAGCAAGTTGTCTAGAGTTAAAAACAAGAATGTGAATACATATAGTCTCCTTCATAGAGAACTGCTTCATGCGGGAGGGGGTCGCGTCTTCTTCTCTGAGTTTTTCATCTGGTTTTCAGTAAGCTGTGTTTTGATTTGGCCATGACTGGAACACTGAGCATCTGTGACAGCGTGTACCAGTGTTCACAGGGGACCTTGAGCAGCTGGCTACCGTAGCCCCATGCAGGAGGCTCTGACTGAGCTAGTGTAGAAGCACAGTGAATTCTCAGAAGCTGTGATTTTACTGCTCCTCATGCGTTCTATATTCTGAACACTACCACTTTTCAAAAGCATAGTCTTGCATGAGGAAAAGCATAAGAACCAGAATTTGTTATCCTACTCCTCCTGTTCATGACTCTGCTCAGATCTCTTTTCACTGTGACCTTTTGGATCTTCTTATTAAATATCATAACCAGCCAGGTCTTCCCATCTTCCTCATCCTACTTCACTTTTGTTTTTACCGATAGCACTTATCAGCTCTTACTGCATATATCAGAGAGTTTCTTGTGAGTGCCTCCCTCACAGCCCTCCCTGTCCCCTCCTGCAGCTGCTGGCAGAAGACTGGCCTTTCGGGGTTGAGCTGTGCAAGCTGGTGCCCTTCATACAGAAGGCCTCCGTGGGGATCACTGTGCTGAGTCTGTGTGCCCTGAGTATCGACAGGTAAGAGTTATTTATTTAAGTCAGAGATCTTAAACACTGTAGTATTTTTGCTGTGTTCTGAAGAAAATAAACTATATGCCGGGGGCGTAGCTCAGCAGCACAGCTCCTGCCTGGCAAGGGCAAGGTCCTAAGCTTGATTCCCTGTACAAAAGAAATAAAAAAAGAAAAAGTAAATAAACTATGTAATTCAATAAAGCCAAGATCTAGCACCTTGAAAATCCATTCTCATCCTCAGATACCGAGCCGTTGCTTCTTGGAGTCGCATTAAAGGAATCGGCGTTCCAAAATGGACAGCAGTAGAAATTGTTTTAATCTGGGTGCTCTCTGTGATTCTGGCTGTCCCTGAAGTCATAGGTTTTGATATGATTACCATGAACTACAAAGGACGTCACTTACGAATCTGCATGCTCCACCCCATTCAGAAAACAGCCTTTATGCAGGTAAACCTTACTTTTGCTTCCTCTTCTCTGCTACTTTTCCCTGAACCCCATCTTTGAAAAGCTATTGATTAGTATCCTCAGCATCACTTAAGAGTATAGATCTCAGGACTGTAGGGTCAACCTTGAATGAAGACTCAACCAGCAAGAATCACATCACCACTTCTCCAGGAACCCTTTGGATCTCAAGGACACAAACCAAACCTAGTTCACATGACAATCAGTGGGAATTCATGACTTTTCTACTCAAAGCCCCTAAGAACTGGTCACTCTGCTGTGCTCAGCTTTGGACCACGTGGCAGCCATCAGGTGAATAGATGGTTCTGCAGATGAGCATATAGATGTTACCTGAAATGGGTGAATTCTGAATGGCAGGTCTGCTCCTCTCTCCATCTTTGATCTAAAACAAGGACTGCCTTTTAAAGAAGCTTTTTGTTTTTTAGTCATTACAGAGTGTTTAATCAGAGTGTTTAATCAGAACTAGGACATAAGGCTGTGCGAGACAGAACCTACATGTAGAAAACTCTTTTTAATAGAGTACATTAAGTGAAGTTAATGCAATGGAGGCTCATCTAAATTCTTTTTAGATTTAAAAAATTCTTTCCATTTAAAATGCCTGTATAATTATTTGTTTAGTAGAAACAACCTGAAAGATTCTATATAGTATTTCTAAAAGAGAATCTCCTTCAGAAGATAACTGTTTCTTGGTGAATATTTTAAGTTGAACATTTGTGCATAAGATTTAAAAAAAATTAAAGAGAATACAAAATGGTAACAAGAACATTAGAAATGATACAGAATTTCACTAAACAAAATAATTGGAATTCAACAATGGTTGTTATATTGCATAATGTTGCTTCCAAGCCATTGTTTAGATCACCAGACACAAGCGTACAAAATTAGTTTTAAAAAAAACTTAGGAGGCCAGGAAGATGGCTCAGCAGAATAAGTGCTTGCAGCACAGACACCAAATCTCCTGGAAGAGAAAGTAGGTGGAACTCTTGAGGACACAGGGGTAGGCAAAGAGTTCATGGACAGAAATCAAATCGCACGGGTCACAGTTGAAAGACTTAACAACTGGGATCTACTCTTACTGAGAAGTTTTTTCATGTCAAAAGAAATTACCAAGAAAGTAAAAAGACAACCTACAAATTTGGAAATAATCATGACAAATAAGTACTCAGACAAGGGTCTGCTCTCTAGAATCTATAAAGAACTAAAAAACACCAGGTCCCCAAAATTTAAAGACCC